TGGGCCGTCCGTGTCTTTGGCTTCAGCTCTGGGAGGTAACCGTGTTCTGGCCGGGCCTTCTGTTGAAGAAGTGGAGGCTTGTTCCCACCTTTGCAGACTGGCCTTGTCTGGGGAAGTCGTTCGCCAGCCCTCCAGAGTCCGAAAAAGCCGCCGGGCAGGTTCTGTGGCAGGCCCGCTGCTTGTGTTGGAGGGACCGACAGAGGGACAGAGGCGTGCGAGCCAAGCCGTTGCCTGGGCTGGGGGCCCTCAGGGGCGATGTCCCCGATGGGCCGATGTCCCAGATGTGCCATTCAAGCTGGGCTTCGAAAAAGGAAGTGCCACGTGAAGGAGGCGGGCCGAAGGGCGGCGTTCCCGGAGCCGAGCCAGCAGGCACAGGGGCCGGTGCAGGCATTGCAGAGGCGGTGGACACGTGGGGGTGACTATTCCGAAGGCAGCCTGGAGTGCCCTGCTGAGGAGTCAGGTCTTTGCCAACCAACAAGCAGCAAGAAGCCGTTAATGGAGTATTACCTGGATCGGAAGGCCCTCAGCCACACCGCGGGCCTGCTGACCCAGCAGGAAAGGGGCCAGCGCTAGAAGTAGCTGTGAGATAGATCACAGGGGTGGGCCGGCCTGGCCCAGGAGTGCAGCAGGTACCGCCAGCCTTCTGGTGCCAGACCCCCAGGGCTGATGGGGACTTGATCGCCCCCTCCCGGTTTGAGCGCCCCAAATCCTGACAGAGGGAGAAACGGGGAGAGGACTGTAGTGTGACGACGCCTCGTGGTGGGAGTGCGGTCCCTCCCTTTCTTGGAAATACCCATGCCCTCTGGGAAAACATTTCAAAGTGTTTCCTGAGGGCCAGCAGGTGGCATGGTGGATAGGGTGCTGGGCTCCACATGGCCAACCATGATTCAAATCCTAGACCTGGTGAGCACACAAGCCCTGTAGCAAATTAAAAATAAAAATACTGGAGACCAGCAGTTAGCATAATGGCTGTGTCATTGAACTCCCATGTAGTCGACTGTGGTTTGATCCTGAACCCGGTGGCTTAAACTCATGCCGGGCACGTATGCGTGCATGCCCAAGATCCCGAGAAGAGAATGGAGGAGAAGGGATTGTGGTGTGGCCATCCCCCAGGGGGTGATTTTTCGCTTTCTATCTCTCTCTCTGTCTTTCTGGTGAGAGCATGCGCCCTGTAGCAAAAACCTCTCAAAAAATAAAAAATAAAATACTGGGTGGGACCAGCAGTTGGCGAAATGGCTATGTCGCTGGACTCCCATGTAGTCAACTGTGGTTTGAGTCCCAGACCCGGTGGCTTAAACTCACGCCGGGCGCATATGAGTATGTGCCCAAGGTCCCAAGAGGAGAGGGATTGTCGTGTGGCCATCCCCCTGGGGGGATGATTTCTCGCTTTCTGTGTCTCTCTCTCTCTCTCACACTCACTCTCTGCTTTCTGGTGAGCGCACATGCCCTATAGCAAAAATCTCTTCCAAAAAACCCCAGAAATACTGGGGCTCATAGGTGGCTTGAGCTCATAGGTGGCTTGGTGGTTAAGGGCACTGGAATCCTACATGGCCGACCACGGTTCAAGTCCTACAACTGGCAGCTTGCTTTCTTACTTTCTTTCCTGCCCCCCTAGTCAAATTAAATTAAATAAAGTTAAATTAAACATAATTTAAAAAAAAAAAAAAAAAGAATAGGCAGGTCTCATATTAATATTAAAAAATATTAATAATGGTCTTTTTTCTTTTTCTTTTTCTTTTTTTTAGGTTTTTGCCTAAGGGCACATGTGCTCCTCAGAGATGAGACAAAGACAGAGGGAAAGTGAGCTATCACCCGCTCCCCACGGGGGAGTGCCACCTTGCAACCCCTTTTCCTCCATTGTCCTCCCAGGATCTTGGGGTGCATGCACGTGCACACACTCCTGGGGTGCTTTTCAAGCCCTGCGGTCTGGGACGACTGCAGTTGGCCACGTGGGAGTCCAGTGATGTAACCGCTATGCCATCTACTGGTCCCTAAATAAATAATTCTTTAAAAAAAAAAATATTTCCTGGGACCAGCAGGTGATCTGATGGTGAAGGTGCTGCATTCCACATGGCTGATCACAGTTTGACCACGGACCCAGTGGCATGATTCAGCCGGGCGCACGTGTGTGTGCATACTCAAAGTCCCAAGAGGAGAATGTAGGAGAAGGGACTGTGGCATGACCGTTCCCCCAGGAGGTGACTTCTCACTTTCTCTCTCTGTCTCTGGCCAAGTGCATGTACCCTGTGGCAAAAACCTGAAAACAGTGTCTCCTGGGGCCAGCAGGCAGCGTGGGTGATGGAGGCCCTGGATCCCACAGCGCTGATTCTGCGACTCACATCCCAGACTTGGCAGCTCAACAAAATGCCGGGCCAGCAGGTGGCATGGTAGCTAAGGTGCTAGATTCCCACCATGCCCAACCATGGTTCAAATCCCGTCCCAGCGGCTTGAAAATCACTCTAGGCAGGTGTGCGTACATGCCTAAAATCCTAAAAAGAGAATAGAAGAAAAGGGATTAAAGCATGGCTGTAGCCCTAGGGCTAGGGGACTTCTCACCTCCCCACTACATCTCTCCCTGGCAAGCTCATGCATACTATGGCAAAAAAAAAAAAATTTAAGTGTTCCCTGGAGCTGGCTGGTGGCGTGGTGGTTAAGGGTGTTGGACTACCACATGATTGACCACGGTTCAAGTCCCAGACCTGGTGGCTTTCTCTACCCCCCCACTCCCCCCACCCCCCCGTCCCTGTCTGGTCAAATTAAAATAAATAAGTAATTTTTTAAAAAGTGTTTTCTTACAGGGAACCAGCAGTTAGCGTAATGGCTATGTTGCTGGACTCCCACGTAGTCGACCGCGGTTCACGTCCTGGACCCGGTGGCTTAAAACTCACGCTGGGCGCGTGTGCGTGCGTGCCCAAGATCCTGAGAGGAGAATGGAGGAGAAGGGATTGCGGCTGACCATCCCCCCCCCCCGGGGGTGATTTCTCGTTTTCTGCCTGTATGTCTCTGTCTGTCTGGCGAGCACATGTACCCTATAGCGAAAATTTCTCACAAAAAAAAAAAAAAAAGTGTTTCCTTACTATATCCGTCTCAAAGTCTGTAGGACTGAGTGTAGAGCAGGTCCTCTAAGGGCCAGGAAGGCTTCTGAGAGGAAGCGGCACTGGAGCTCATGCAGTGCGAGGAGGGAAAGCCTCAAGGAGCTGACAGGCCACCCTGCATTCCGCACTACTAACATCAGGAGGGTCTTGGCTTTCAGATGAAAAAACTGAAACCCAAAGTGAGGAAGTGAGCGCCCCCGCCTGGCACGCCTTTTCCTGCCACATGGCACGAGTGTGGGTGGAAAGGCAGGAGTGGGTGGTAAGCACAGAAGAGCTCCGCCCACTGCCTGCCCCGTGCCTGGCATAACTGCACGCAGCTGGCAGTGACCAGGTGTGCCCCTTCAGGTCACATCCAAAGTGATGGAGATGTTCCAGCCCAGCGCCGTGGTCTTGCAGTGTGGCTCAGACTCCTTGTCTGGAGATCGCTTAGGCTGCTTCAATCTGACCATCAAAGGTGAGGCGGGTAGCATACAGAGGGGCGGGGCAGGCAGCTCCTGCTGGCCCCCTGTAACCCAGCACCCTCCTCCCACCAAGGGCATGCTAAGTGTGTGGAATTTGTCAAGAGCTTCAACCTGCCTATGCTGATGCTGGGAGGCGGTGGCTACACCATCCGTAATGTCGCGCGGTGCTGGACGTACGAGACGGCCGTGGCCCTGGACACGGAGATCCCGAATGGTAACAGTTCCGGGCTGGCGTCGTGGGTACGAGCTGGGCCTTGCAGGTCCTCAGGTTCTCAGCCCTTCTCCACTTGACCTCTCTTCTGACACACGTCATGTCCTCTCCTGATTGACACACAGCCATCCGACTCCCCAGCCCTCTGTGACTCCCGTCTCCCACCTGCTTTTGGTCTGGGCAGGATCATCAGTGGGTGTATATAGCTTTGAAATTCCTAGACTCCAGGGTAACCCATGCTCGCTGCGAAGAGTTATGAGCAGGCTTGGGCCTCCTGGTGACATTACCATTGGCGTGGACAGTGGAGAACATTATTTAAGATTAAAATCCTGGGCCAGCCCCATAGTCTTGTGGGTAAGAGAGCCAAACCTGTGACCACGGTTCTAGTCCCAGCCCTGGTGGTTTGAAAAACATCAAGGTGTGTGTGCATGCACAAGTGTATGTGGCTAAAACTCCCAACAGGATGGAGAAATGCAGAAAGGATAGTGGTGTGAACACACCCTGCTGGGGATACACCCGTTTCTCTGTGCACACACACCCTCTGGCAATTAAAAAAAAAAAAAAAAGATGAGAACTCCGAAGTTACCCAGCTCTCCTAGGGCAGAGGCGTTGTCTGATAGCTGGGTAGATGGGTCCAGAGGGACCCGCAGGGGCTTTCCTGGGGCCACCGTGTGAGCCAGACCCCTCGGCTCCCTTCTCTCCTGCCCAATCAGAGCTTCCTTACAACGACTACTTCGAGTACTTCGGACCAGATTTCAAGCTTCACATCAGCCCTTCCAACATGACCAACCAGAACACCAACGAGTACCTGGAGAAGATCAAGTGAGTACGCCCGCCGGCACCCGGGCTGCACCCAGGTTCCGTGTCCCCACCCAGAGCCCAGCCACTCTCCCCCCTGGCCACAGACAGCGGCTGTTTGAGAACCTGCGGATGCTGCCTCACGCGCCGGGGGTCCAGATGCAGGCCATCCCCGAGGACGCCGTCCCGGAGGAGAGCGGCGAGGACGAGGATGACCCCGACAAACGCATCTCAAGTAAGAGCCAGGCCAGCTCTGCCACTCGGGAGGCCGCTCAGGCTGGCAGTTCCCTCCCTGTCCTGTGCCTTCCCCTTGGTGTCTCTGGGGCCACCCCGGAAAGCACTGGGACAGATCCCGAGACAGCCACCTCCTCTCACCTCTCCACTGCCCCAGTCTGCTCCTCTGACAAGCGGATTGCCTGTGAGGAAGAGTTCTCTGACTCCGACGAGGAGGGGGAAGGTGGCCGCAAGAACTCTTCCAACTTCAAAAAAGCCAAGAGAGTCAAAATAGAGGATGAGAAAGAGAAAGAGCCGGAAGAGAAGAAAGGTGGGTTTGGGTGGGTCGGGACTTGGTCTTGCACCCAGGAGGGAGTGACTCGGGCTCTTCCTCAGTCATTGGGCCTTCCAGGGGCTCTCAGGAGCGGCAAGTGCCATCCCCACCAGTGGCCCAGCAGCCTTCCCACAGGGCCCAGGCCGCTCTGGCAGCTCTGCTCCCAGGGGGCTGCCTCCGCCCACCAGGCCCTGGCTCTAGCAGGCTGAGAAACCGGTCCAACCTGCTCTCACAGGCTCACTAGGACCTGGGACTGGCTTCTTTCTTAGGTCCAGTGAGCCAGTGTTGGGGAAGGGGGTTCAAGGTAGCAGGGTGCAGTGCCCTCGTGGGTCTTTCTGGAGGGGCTCCCCAGTCACCCTTGCACTCTTATGTTCTAGAAGCCCCAGAAGAGGAGAAAGTTAAGGAGGAGAAGCCCGAAGCCAAAGGGTGAGGAAGGAGCTGCCTGCTGGCCACCCCCCACCATCAGGACAGGCACGGGGACATCAGCCCTTGTCCCACCAGCCCAGCAGGATGGTGCCCGGGACAGCTGGTCCACTCACAAAGGCCTCTTTGAGGGGCCAATCTTGCTGCCTCTGCAGTTCTAGGCAGAGCTAGGAAGCCCCAGCCCCGGCAGTCACCTGGGTCCTGTGGGAGTCAGTGTCCACGCTTGCTGCCACGCGGCCTCGGGGGTGCTCTCATGCAGCGTCTCTGCTCTCTCCACAGGGTCGAGGAGGAGGGCAAGCTGGCCTGAGCAACCTCTTCAGATCTGGCTCCCTGCCAAGCTCCCCACACCCTCAGATTTTATATTTTCTATTTCTGTGTATTTATATAAAAATATATTAAATATAAATATCCCCAGGGACTAGACAGGAACCAGGGTAGCCGCACTGGGCTACCTCCCCTCGCAGCCGCCTTGCCACTCATCCCGCCCTGGCCAATAGCACCATAAATGGTGCCAGGTCTGGGTAGAAGGGACAGGCAGCCATAAGACAAAACCTGGAACGCCAGGCGCCTGTCTGGCAGCTTTGGGAAGGTCCCCTTGGCATTCTAGAGGGGGCAGTCAAGTCTTCAGGGACCCTGTTCTGTTCAGGCTCCTGATGTGACATCAGCCATTTTGGGATGGGTTCTGGTCTCCTACCTTCCCACTTAGGAGCCAGGACCCTCACAGCTGCCTGCCTGGGTTGCCTCCAGTCCTGCAGGTGGAAGTGGTGGTCTAGTTTCCTTTCTGGAGATACTATTTTCATTTTTTGTGAGATTCTTTATAATAAAATGGTACATTTCTATACCTACACCTTCCTGAGCATGTTTGCGCCCAGTGGCCCTAGGAGTTTCAGCCTTCTGCTTGTCGTCCTCGCAGTGGACCCAGGCAACCCCCTGCACAAGAACCCATAAACTTACCTGTCTTCCTGCCCCATCCCTGCGGTTTGTGGTTACTGTTTTCCACAGATCTTGCCCTGTCCCCAGAAGAGCACTCATTAAAGCACCACTAAAGGGACGACATTTATTCCTTTTCCAAATGTTACAGTAAAACCAGGTGGAAGAGAATGTTTTTAGCAGTTAGAAAAAAAAAAGTACAAATCTGGGGTTTGGCCATTAAAAGTTATTTACATCCATGGGAGAAAGAAAGACAACACGAAGTTGTTTCACATTACAGACCTCCCCTCCCCAAAGCCTACCACTCGCTTACCAAGTCAGAAAGAGCTGATTCACAAGCTGGAGGTTTGAACTTGAGTAAGACATTTATAAAAACCCAGACAGGGGCAGTGTCCTCCCCAGCCCAGGTGCCACTAGGCACAGCACAAAGAGACTAAAACTCAAAACGGGGGAAGGCTGGACACTCAGGGTTTGGGAGTATAAGCACCCCACTTCTGGCTCAGGGATTTGGGGAGCAGGGTAAACAAAACCTACTTGGAAAAGAACTGGGGAAGAAAACCAGCAACTGCCGTCTGCAGGGGTGGGTGGGGACAAGGGAGGCAGCAGGGCAGGAGCATGTCACATCACTAACCTAACTTGGGAAACTGTAAGGGACCATCTTCAACTGCCATAGAGGAAGGCCAGATGGCTGATGGGAAAATCCACAGGAGGGAGGATAGGAGGGAACGTGGCTGGGAGGGGGCGGCAGCCCCTCCCTTTCTGGGCACAGGAAGGCAGCCAGGGCACCAGGTCCAGGCAGTGACCTCACAAGGACAGCACAGTTTTTGCAGCTCAGAGATCACCCACCTGCCCCCACCCAGCTACTCATTCTGCTCGGCGTTGGCCGGCGCAGGGCCGCTCTCGGGCCCCGAGGGGGTGGACGGCTCTGCAGCCCGGGGCCCTGCCTCGTCCTCGGCGTCTGCGGCCTTGGAGGCGGCACTGGCCTCTGCCCCCTTGGCCTGGGGCTCTTGGCTCTCGGGGGCGGCCTTCCCTTCCTGGGCTGTGCCCTCGTCGCTGCAGGCGCCCAGCTCGCCCTGCTCCTCTTCCTCGGTGGGCGAGGAGGCAGAAGAATCGCCTCCGCCCTCCTTCCGATTTCTCTTGAAGGACAGGCCGCTCAACTTGAAAGGCTTCTTGAAAGAGAATTTCTTCTTCTTCTTAGGGGTCTCCTTGGAGGAGACCTCCCCCTTGGCCTCCGCACCCTGGCTAGGAGGGGCCGGCTCGATGGCATCGCCAGTGGCCCCAGCTGCCTCATCTGTTCCGTTCACGGGGGGCGACTCCCCTTCCCCCTTGGGGGATAAGTCTCCATTGCTTTTCACGTGGCCGTTCTCCTGCAGGCAGAGGAGGCAGCAGTGAGGGCCGGGGCTTCGGCCCCTTCCAGACACCGGGGTCCCCGACTCGATCTGCTGCAGCCTCAGAGTGCCTTGGGCTTCACCCCACCCGGGATCCCGTCAAACACCTCCCTCGCAGGCCGCGGGCCTCCGGAGCGCAGAGGCCGCGGCCGGCAGGAGGCGCTGGGTCCGCGCCCCCACCCCTCCCCGGGGCGCGCTCTCCATCCGCGCCGAGCGCTCC